TGAATGTTGAGCCAGCTTGCCTATCTGGGTTAAATTCCATTTGCTCACTGCACACGATTCTTTAAATACACTGTTGAATTCAATTACTTAGTTTTGTTGAGGATTTTTACATCTATTCTCATGAGAGGTATTGCCTGTAGTTTCCTTTTCTTTCATCTTTGCCTGACCTTGCATTAGGGTAAATGCTGACCTCATAGATGAGTTAATAGTCCCCCTGCTTCTATCCTCTGGAAGAGATTGTAAACAATTATAAAATTTTCGTTCTTAAACATTTGGTAGATTCAGGGCCAGAGATTTAGCTCAGTGTTGCTGCCACCTGCCTCACAAGCTCAACGTTTTGGGGTACCAAAAACCCCAAAAAAACATTTGGTAGATTCACCAGAAACCATGCAGGCCTGGTGTTTTGTCTGGAAGGTCATTAATTATTGGTTCAGTTTCTTTTCTACAGATAGGCCTATTCATATTTTCTATTACTTTGTTTGATTTTTGGCAGGTGTAGTTTCCTAGTAATTGGTCCACTTATTATCCAATTTGTGCACATAAAAATTGTCCACAATATTCCTACATTATCCTTTAATGCCATGGGATATGTAGCGATAACCCTAATATATATTACTAACACCAGCAATTTCTAAGTGTACTTTCTCTTCCTGTAGGTACCCTGACTAGAGGCTTATCAATTTCACTTATATTTCCCAAGAGCAAGTCTTTGTTTCTCTGCCATCGTTTTTTTGCTTATTGGTTCTGATTTTTGTTTTCCTATCTTCCTATAGGTTAACTGACTTCTTTTGAAAGTGCAGTGTTCTATTTTGATATATTGAAAATCGCTGAGGGTTTTACAGCTGCCCTAATGGCTGCTCTAGGTATTACATTGTATTTGCACAGCTTATCATGGTCTAATTATGTCGACATTTTTTTTTTTTTTTTTTGAGATAGGGTCTCACTGTACAATTGAGACTGATCTGGAATTCACTATGTAGTCCAGGCTGGTCTCGATCTCACAGCGACCCTCCTCCCTCAGCTTCCCGAGTGCTGGGATTACAGGCGAGCGCCACCACGCCCAGTTTGTCGACATTTTATCAGTTTGTGTGAAGGAGCCTGACCTCATGTCCCTTTACTCCCCCATATTTATAACTGTCCATCACTTACTCAACATACACTGAAAGATACTACAAAATTAAAATTTTACTTCAATAGACATATTTGGAAATCTCAAGTGAAGTTTATTGCATTTACCTATATTTTTTTATTTTGTTGAAATCATTTTGTCTCAAAAACATCCTCTAGCCATTCTTTTTCTTGGGGAAGGAGTAACTGAGGGCCATTAAGCTACATCCTCAGCCCTTTTTTGAGACAAAGTCTTACTAAATTGCCCAACTGCCCAGACTGTTATAGTTTGTGGCTATCCTGTCTCAGCTTCTCAGAGTGCTGGGATTTCAAGTGTGTGCCACCCTGCCTGGCTCCCTTTATCCATTCTACCAGGCAGGTGTGCTGGCAACAAGTTCTCTGGGTCAGCATCAATCCTTAAGACCACATAAAAAACAAAAGAGCCAAGTTTTCTCAAATAAAAAGATGCCACAGATTATAAAATATATCACTAAGAAAACTACTGTATGAGTTCGATCCCTGGCACCAAAAAAAAAAAAAAAACACCTACTGTAAATTTTCAGAAATATTTTGATTTCAGAGAAGCTACAATGTGCAAAAACTGCTCATCAGTATGTGAAATCAATGAATACTGAAACCACAAGCTAAGATTATAGTGATATCTTCAGATGTGTTGAAGAGCAGATCATAGTTCTGAGACTATCAATTGTACCCAAATATTAAAGTTTTATCTCCAAGCTGATAGGTTAGTCACAAATTCTAATATAAAATCATGTTTTTACTCAGAGTTACTTTCTCGGGGTCCAAGGCCCACTAGAATTGGTGTGGTAGGAATTGAGTCAGGAGAGGTCACTCAGCCAGTTCACCTTACATTATGCACTAGGCCAGTGATGGTGAACCTTTTAATGATGACAAAGAGGTCACTTCACCATGCTTGCCACCACTGAGGCCATCTGTTACAAAACTCTACAGAAGCGGCATAAGGGAGTTCAACACAGCGGTGGGCTGACATGATGCAGGATTCTGCTCAAGCTCCCAAACTGAGAACATAATTCACCTTGTTTCCATAGGTTGACTTAGAACACAATAGTGAAAACAGAATACTACTTACCTTCCCTGAGTGCAGGGGACAAGTCACTTGTCTCTCCACACTCTCAACAGAGCATGACTGGCCTGGGAAAGGTACCTGGAGTGCCTGTGGGATGTGAGTGGTAAAGGACAAGGTCCTCAGAACCTTTAGGACATTGGCCCACTTATTGGTCTTGTGGGAAGATGAGAATTAGAAAAGGGAAAAAACACCTGAAAATGTAATGCTCTCAGGAACCTGGCAAGGCAGGAGAACGAATGAAGCCAGAACCCTACCTCCAAAAGTTCCTCATAGCAGTGACCATCTCTGCACACGACTTGGAAAGATAAATCCATCACAGTGCTCACTGAATCCCTAAGAAGGTCTTCCATGTTTTAAAAAAGTTGATAGCAAACATACAAACCTCAAGCGAAAAGTGGCAGGATTTGAGAAAAGACATACTACAAGGGGATCAGAATTTCTTTATTGTCTTTACAAAAATCATGTAAACAGCACAGACCTCTCCTTATCCCCAATTCCAGAATCATCATGACACATTAACTTTACATTTAAAATAATCAGGAGAAATAAAACAAGTGACCAAGTAAACATATGCAGTTTTGTGGTCTTGTTTGGAAGCCTTCCACATGAAGGCTCAGTATATCCATGAGGAACCTGGTGAGCAGGGATTGGTGATAGAGCACAGTGGATCTTGGCCGCTTTTGCAAGCTTATGCAAGCATCATAATGGGATGCCTCTTCTCTCCAAAAAGAAAAGGGTTAGCATGCTGAGCTGTTCCTGCATATAGCTACACTTTCCCTCCTTGCAGAGGAATGGCCCACATCCACAGGCTCTAGACAAGGAAGTGCAGGCCCTCCCATTCTTTACTTTTCTTTAAGCAGAAATACTAGATCCAAGTCTTCCTGGCACCAAAAACAAAAAACAAATACCCTCCCCCCAAAAAAACCCAGAGGAATATGCAGGCATGTGGAACTGAGAAGAATTACACACAGCTGCCTCTTCTCCCATTGAAGATGTTTTTGAGAATGTGAACCAACCAACTTTTTGCTCCATACATTGTGGAGTAGAACAGCTTAAGCAAAATTTGGTTTCCAGAAGAATATGTACTAGAAAGAAGCATCTGGCAGAGCAGTAACAAGGCCTGGTGAGGTAAAATCTCTTTTCTTCAGCCTCACTTTCAAGTTCCAGCTGGGTATCCCTACCCTAAATGTCACAGTAGCCAGAGGCAACTTTTCAGGGATGACTTCTGATAACTCAGAATGAAAACTTGATTACACAGGTTAAAAACACTCATCATGTGAAAATCCAAAACCTGAAATTCTGCAGCTTTTCTAGCACTGACTTGATGCCACAAGTAGGAAATTCCACGTATCATCTTAGATGATGAGTCCCGGTTGGAACACAAGTGAACTAAAAATACCATGTAAAATTACCTTTGGCTATGTGAATAAAGCATATAAACATAAATGAACTTCCTGTTTAAACTTGGATCACACCCTGCAAAATACCTCTTTATATAGGGAAATATTAAAAAATCTGAAGTCCAAAAATCTTGTCTCAAGTTTTTCAGATAAGGGATACTTAATCTGTACCAGAAGCAACTGAACAAGGGAGTCAGGGCTTTTGTTCTATTAGATTCCTCCTGATGCCAGATCCTTTCATCATAAAATCCTGGAGGACCAGCTGGTATTCTGTCCGAGATATTTGCTGGGAATCTGTTAGTTCACTGGAAAAATACACTGAAGTATGTGGAGCAGGCCATGTGCTCTCTCTTGGATGGACCTCATGCTGTAGGGCATACAGAACTTCTTTTCCTTTTACTTAGCCCATACTTGCTCTACAAAGCCTGTTTCTTTTCCTACCTTTATAGAGCTTTGCTACCGTTAAGGAAAAAAAAAAAGAAAAAGTGGCGCAAACAGCACAGCAGCTAATATACCGCAGATGTCCCATAAATGCTTCTGGATCAATTAATTTTTTTTTCTTGGGTTTTTTGATACATGGTCTCACTGTGTAGTTTGGGCGATCTGGAACTCATGGGGGATGGTCTTGCCTCAGCTTCCCAAGTGCTGGGATTACAAGCGTGTGCCACACTTGGCTAATGACAGTATTTCTGACATTTATTGAACACCAACTGTAAGTCAGACTGTGTCTGCTGTATTATATTTTATTTCCCAGTAGGTACTGTTAAGCTGTTAATTTATTTTTTTATCTGCTTAAACTAGAGATCCACTTTATTTAGATGAAGGTTAAAATATCAACTAGCACTTGAATCCAATTTCCCCCACTGAGAAATCTTATGTCCTTTATTTGAATGTTGCTCTTCTTTAAATTGTTATTGTACTCCTGAAGAAGGCAGACAAACTGAAAATAGCTTCATTAAAAACCTAAGATTTGTAGCTAGCAATGGTGGTATGTACTTGCAATCTTAGCTACTTGGGAGGATGAGACAGGAGGATTCCAAGTTGGCGGTCCATGTAGGCAACTTTGTTAGACTCTGTGTCAAAAAAGAAAAAGGTCTGGGATTGCTCAATTGTAGAGTGCTTGTCTAGTAGGTGTTGAGGCCCAGGGCTCAGTAGGTGTTGAGGCCCAGGGCTCAATCCCTAGTATTGCAAACACAAAAAACCAAAAGCACAGCAACAAAGAAAAAAAAAAATCTAAACTTGGGAGATTAAAGAACAACAGCAAAAAAATCTAAGATTTCTAAATGTGGTAGACTAAAGAAGTAAGGAATAATAAAATAGTAAGCCTTATGAGAAAGAACAAAAGTACTGTTATTCTAAATGTGGTAGACTAAAGAAGTAAGGAATAATAAAATAGTAAGCCTTATGAGAAAGAACAAAAAAGTACTGTTAAATAATTGTAATTATATATATATCTATTTTTAAAAAATTTTTATTTATTTTTTTGTACAGGGCTATTAGAAGGTAATAGCATTCTCTCCACTATCCTCCCTTTTGAAAAATTGAACATGAGTGCTCTTTTCTTCTCCATCTGATTAAGGGCTATTCTGAAAATCTAAGTGCTTTCATGAATGGCTCTGGTGTTCCGTTTAACATTCCAGAGACATTAGTACTTGTGTTTGTCAGTTTTAAATGGACATAAGTATGAAAAACAGGTTTTAGAGTCCTGATAAAGCCTAACCCAAGTTATTTTCCCCAACTTCAGTTACAGATTTTATAAGCTCCTAAATAGACATTCTTAAAGAACATATGCTTATTTATGTATATAAAGTATAGATAATATGGGACCTTCTGAGAATTATTAGTGAAGATTCATTAACTCTATAACTTTTGAATACCAGAGATACTTAAACGTGCACAAACCTGTATGAAGTTCTCAGTTCCCAAACTTTGGTTATATAAATATGCCGCAAGCACCATAGAAACCAATCCAAACTTACAAAGAAAAAAGTCTCAAGAAACAAAAAAGCCCTTCAACTCTCTTTTGTTTGTTTTTATACTATATGAGAACTGATTTGTTCTATATTTCCTTTATTCTGAGTCAATTTCCAAAAACAATGTGAATAAAAATTGATCGGGGAAATAGCACAGACAAACCATTACAGATAAAGTTGATGTCTCAAGACAACTTTTGGAAAGTAGGCTGTCTTAAATAAATAAAAACTGTTTTAACCTAGGATATTTGTATTATGGAACATGTATGAAAAAAACCCCAATTCTTAATTTTCAAAATCCACAAAACATGGAGCCTAAAAAAGAATTGGAGGTGAAAGGCTCACAGGGAGACCTGCAGCAGACTCCATGACAGAGATGCTCGGATTTCAGCTTCTTCCGGGGTTCACTGGCCTTTGCTAGCTGCAGAAGTGATTTGTATAGTATACAAGCATGAAGAAAGATATGGCAGCTGAGCACCTTTTATGGAGTTTCACAAGAAAGCTGATGGGCAAAACAAAACAAAACCAAAACAAAGACTGAAAGAAGAAAATGGGAAGAAAACATGACTAACCCTATGTAACTCAGGATGGAGAGGGCCCAGATGTCCAAACTGACAATTGCATATGTGTGGATGGGATTGAATCTCTGACTACAAATATGGATTATATACACATTTATATTAACTTGTCAGTCTATACCCTACCCTGATTATTCAAACATGATGTCTTTGAGTGGTAGGAGGCGGCTTAGGTCACTCAGCCCCTCAGGTCCCTGTCCTCTGCCCTGGCTGGTCAGCAGTCTCTGCACAGGACTCAACAGTGTGGTATATGAAGGGATAAAGCTTGATGTCCAGCCCCGGTGTGGAACAGTTTCTGCATTCTTCATTGTAGTATCGTAGCAACAACTTATATATTTCTCCTAGAGAGAAAAAGGCCAGAAGGATCAGCACACTAAGGTTTGTAGACAGGAAAAAACTTCAGAAGAATACTCTAATTTTATCTTAATCTAAACAGCATATGCTCAGATTTGGCCTTTGAAACTGATTCTGTGTAGCTAAAAGTCTTTGTTAGCACATACTTAAAGAAGCTACCCAGCTCTCAACACAGTAGGCTACACACAGTGCATTGTCCATGCTTTTTTTTTCTGCAGTGCTAAGGACTGAACCTAGATCCTTGCACAAGAGAGGCAAGTGTTCTACAACTAAGTTATGTTCCCAGCCCTTGTCCATGCTATCTTGGGAGCTCATGGACCCTAGTTATATATGCTCAGCTCCCAAGGTGGTTAGCATGCTGGATGAGCATGGTGCACATCTGTCTGATAGATACGCCCTCAGCTTGAAGTAGGCTGGAATTTATTTCATGTCTTCCCCCTTTTGTTTTCTCTCTCTTTTTGGTTTTTTTTGGTGCTGGAGATTAAACCCAGGGCCTTACGCATATTAAGCATATGCTCTAACACTGAGCTATGCCCTAGTCCCTCTAGTTTTCTAGCCACAGAAAAGTGAAAATGGATAGTAACAGTAGCTTCTTGATCTTACTCTAACAGACACACTCAGTCAAATCATGAATGAAACTGACAGAAATACAAATACTGCCCCTCTGTACTCTGCCCTCTCCCTCAAAGTCAGTGTTCATTCCTTCTAAGCTGCTGTGATCCATCCAGATTTAGCAAGTGCTCCTCCCACAAGTGGCCCACCCATCTTGATAGGCAACATCAGGACTGCCTCCTACTCACCAACAGTCAGCTTCCGCTTGGTGAGGAAAGTATGCATGCTGTAAATGTCTCGCATTAGCTCTGCATCCCCGAAGGTGAAATAAGCCACATCTCGTTCAGCTGCAGCAGCTGCTAGGATCTGTATTAGGGCTGCAGCAGAGAGAAAAGATGCAGCTGTATGATGACACTGCTCATCAAGGCGCCTTTAGCTCTGCCAGCCAGCTAACTTACAGCTGCTGTGCCATTACTTTATCTGGATTAAAAATTTATAAACTGAATATACACATTATTAGATATGGTGAATACAAGATGGGCATAAATCATATAGTTGTGCGACTTTTCAGATATGCTGCTGAGAATATCATTAAGCCCAATTCTCATCCAGACACCTCTTCTAGACCATAAATAAAGGAAAGTACATCTGAAGCAGCAAACCAAGGTACTAAAGTGGTGGCATTTATAGTCACTTCTATTAATCTGGAAATTGAATTTCTGAGTTTGCTTTCTTGATACAATAGTTCATCTTATTACACAGTCACTGGTCTTTGTATAACAGGCACATTTGGGAGGTTCTAATGGTCCCATGAACCCCTGTAAGCATTCCCAAAGAGGGCTAGCAAGCACACCCGAATCCTTCCTGCACCCCCACCTCCACCTGCCCATGTAGCCTGGAGTCCCTGCTACTAAAGACACCAGACCTAACTTTCTGTTATGTTGGAAAAGAAAAATAACTGAGAAGTACTGTCCTGGGAGTCAAAGCTACAAATCAGTATGCTAAACAATGATTAAAAAATAAAGTTCCTTTACAATCTTAATCTTAATAGAATTTAAGTAACAACTAAACAGAACACAGTTGCAATAAAAAGTCCTCTTGATAGTTATGTATCTTTTACTTCAGAAAAAGGTGGGGAATCAAATTAAATCATTACGGAGGATACATGTAGCTTTGTTTTTTGACAGCATAGTAGTATTTATTTTACATGTTTAAAAAATAAAAAGATTAAGAATGGAGTTGGGTGTAGTGGTACATGTTTATAATCAAATCACTCTATGAGGCTGAGGAAGGAGAATTGCAAGTTTGAGTCCAGCCTGGGCAACTTAGGAAGATGCTGTCTCAAAGTAAAACCTGGGCATGTAGATCAGGGAGAAGGAAAGCCCTGGGTATTACCCTAATCACTTCAGACAACAATAAAAAGAATGGGAGTGGGTAGGAACTATAAGAGAAAGCAAACTAAAACAAATGAGCCTTATTTAGCTCAACTGAGTAATTTAACTACACTGAGGGAGAAGGGAAAAGAAAAGAAGAAATAACCCAAGTGACTTATAAACATGGTATTTGACTACCCTTGGTCTTGGGCAAGGAGGAGAGAACTATAAACACCCGCCCCCAGGCTTGCTTATCTTAGAAGTACAGGGAAAGCAATCCTGAAGTTACTTCTCAGGGTATTAGAGGATTGAGGGCTGAATAAAGGTGTAGGTGCTGCTGGGAGCTGAGGCTGCTGTGGAAGAAGGGACTTGCCACAATGGAATGAGGCGGACAAAACAGAACTCTGGGGTAGATGGAAAAGGAAGGCTCTGGAGTGCGCTTGTGATATTTAAATGACATATATCTGTATGTGTGTTAAGGCACACATTTCTTTGCTTTGCTGGTTGAAGGACAGAAAACACCAATACTCCAGCAACGAGCACGTCTAGTGTCCAGAACCTACTAATACAACTGTCCCTAAAAAGAATGGATTCTTTGGAGAAATGATTGATTCCATACGTGGGACAAGAAAGGCACAAGAGGAACCTAGAACATTTTGCTGTATCAGAAAGTAAAGAGATGCTGAAAAAAACAAACTGATGGGAGGTTATCATAATGAAATGGGAGCCAACTTGAAGGAGCTCCCCAATCTGGACAAGCTAGGCACCGAAATACTAAGTACAGTCATGAATTAAAACCTTTGAAAAAATATGCTTCCCTAAGTCTATGCTGATGAACAGGCAGATACATAAACGGAGTACAGGAGGGAGGGCGCTTACTCACAGGAGAAAGCGGAGATGCAGACTGGGAAAGCAGAGAGGGCCACAGGAACTATAAACAGATGCTGAATCCACGGGAAACTCTCTTACAATGTCTTTCACAGATTGCGTATTATTTACAAGGGAAAAGAAAACTGTAGTTCTATACTGTGGAGAAACCAGGCAACACCTTTCTTGAGTGGCCCAGTGAAGCTCCCACTGGTGTCTAATGACATCCAGTGTCTTGGGACAGCATCACAGATGTGGGTGCTGACCAATAATAGCACTAAGCCTCAACTTTAGCAAGAGGAGGCAGCACACAAAATGTGCCAGTGTCATAAAGGGCAAACTCTATGGGAGGCTAAGAGACTGGCGTGGCACCGAAATGCTTTACCTCACACTGGACCCTGTGCTGGAAGGAAAAAGGCTACAAAAACATTTTTTGCTGTTTCTGAGACAAGGTCTATCATAGCCCAGGCTGGCCCTGAAATTGCGGTCCTCCTGCCTCAGCTTCTGGAATGCTGGGATTACAGACATGTACCTCAGCTGGCTCAGAAAGACTTTATCAGGACATATGACATAGTGAAAACATGGAGGAGAGCAGATAAAAATATCAATGCATATTTATGAATAACCAATGTGGCTAACAAGGAATTTTTTCCTCTTAGGAAACATGCTTAGATGTATTTAGGAAGGGGCCTACTGTATGTAACTTATGCTTGAATGTTTCAGAAAAAAATATGTACATATACACAGAGATGTATATTTTTACTGTTTACAAATCTTAAATTATTTTAAAATGAATAATATGTAGAAGGAAAACTTTTAAGTTGAACAAATAAAATTTGATATAGTTGACTATTCTCCAGAATTGGAGAATATGTGACATTATAGTATTTGTGAGATTCTAAAATATTATCAAAGTATGTCCTAATAGCCAAAGTAGTATTTCTTAAGTATCTACAACATGGGTAGGACCACAACTAGGTTTCATTAATCTCAGTGTTGAAATTAATTAATTTCAAAATAGAGGTAAGTTTTAATTAAAACTGCTCAACCAACTTATGCATACATGAAAGCTTCAGTACACCCATTTTAAAAGGTTCCTAATTAACCTAAACTACATATAAAAATGGAAACTAATGAATTGTCATTTTCCTCTACCAAGAGGTACCTGTCATATCTTATCTTTAAGAGAGAAAAGCCTCAGAGGCTGGAGATTGAGCCTGGCAAATGCAAGACTCTGAGTTCAAATCCAGTACTACAAAAACAAACAAAGAAACAAACAAAAAAAAGAGAGAGGGAGAGAGAGAGAGAGAGACGGAGGAAGGGTGGGGAGGAGAGAAAAGCCCCTCTGTCCAATTTCTTACTAGACTACTGGTCATTTGTGAAAATAAAATACCGTATTAATAAATATTTAAAATTTATTTCCTTATAGAATTTATTCTAAAAATATTCCAGAGGCCATTGTACACTGTAGAATTTGGCATTAACCTTGATGTACTATCAAAAGACGTTGGAGTCTATTAAGAGCTAGGAGAAAAACCAACCTGCATCCCCCCTTCTTTTTTTGTGGTCTTGAGGACTAAAACCCGGACACTGTGCATGCCTGGCAAGTATCTGCCACTGAGCTATGCATACAGCCCTGTTATACACCATTTCTGCCCAAAGCATGTTGTTCCATGAGTGGTGACACTGGGAGGTGAGTGACCACACTTAGTCCTTACCTTCTGTTAGCTGGCTTTAACCAAGCATTGAACACTTGGGTTCTTTTTTCTCAGCTACACAATGAAGGAGGTGAATTGTAGAGTCCAAACTGACTCCATTTAAGTAGTTACTCCATTCTGTGATCAGGTCACTACTCCATTCTGTGATCAGGTCACCGCCCAGTTACTGGAAAAACCCCAAAGCGCCCTTTTGACCAAATTACAAACCCATGCTAAATAACAAAGGGCCCAGGAGACAGTGCTTTAACCCCTTCCCACGGTAGCCATAGTTCTGACCTTTGTTCTAACCCTGGCTTAGGAATATAAGGCAATCTTGTACTGTTTGAAGTCCGGAACCTGATTAACGTGTAAGTTAATGGTTCTAGACTATGAAATACATAGAGACCCCAAGTTAATTATCGAACTGTTTGCTCATCCGGAAGGCCCTGATGGCCTTTGAACCGTCCTATAGGTATCTGTTAATTATCAATGTGTGACTGCCGAGTACGTGACTGCGGACAACCATCTCAAGTCAGCAGACCTTTGTCCCCTGCCTGCATTTTCAAAATGTTAACCAATCAGGCACTGAGCCATCTAGAAAGCCCCTAGTTCTGCTTCTTCGCTGATAAAAAGCCTGTTTGAAACCGGGTTCGGGGCTCTCGGTATGAAACCGCTAGTTGGTGAAGTCCAGGAGTCCAGGCTCGAGCTTGCAATAAGCCCCTCGTGTGATTACATCGGACTCAACTCCTTGGTGGTTTTTGGGAATATAGCAATCTGGGCACAATAGAATCAGATCATCCCCAAATACTTTTTCAGAATTTACCATTCCATAATCACTGTTCTAATTTTTCTCCCTGAATTAGATACTAGACTATAAATACACAAATGAGATTTCCAGGAAGATAAATTTATCTCAACCCCAGTTAGGTGCTTATGTCGCCATTGACAAAAGCTCATTTAAATAGCATTGTCTGCAGTCCTCACTGTGACATCCCCAATGTGTTCCTAGTCGAGAGAGATATGCCTCATTATTTAAGTGAGCTCCCTTGCATCAAAAGTTAGATGGGAATAAATCACAAATCTAATAGGTTGTGTGGACTGGTTCCAAGTCTAATATAAACACATTGAATTTTAACTTCAAGCACAACTGCCAACATAATTACTTAAATTAACCTGCAGGGAGCTAGGTTTTAATTTTCTTTTTGGCATCAATGTTAAACTGTGAAGAAAATGCAAATAAATATTAGTAACAACGCTCAAAAAACAATTTATAGTGTCCTTTTCCAACAAACTAACCCAGCAAAAACTGGGTAAATGATGGCTACTGTGCCACAGAAGAGGTCTGTTCCATTAGCAGGTAATATCAGTAACATCTGCTAACCCCAAGCTCTTACAGCATGGGCTGCTTTTCCAGCACCTTCACCAGCACCGACTCACAAA